CGAGAAAAATAAACTTGAAGCGTTAAATTATTATTTTTACGGTAAGATTTGAAAATATCAAATTAATATATTTTTGAAAAACATTTTCTTATCACACTATCCACTCGAATTTTCATCCAATCGCAGTAAAGATATTCAAAGGTAAATTTCATATGATAAATTTAAATCCTTAGCCGAATGCTACATTCGATTCACATTGCTTACGAAACATTGTAAATGTGTACACGTGTTTATCTAGCAAAACTTTGCGTGGAAGAAATAGAGGTTAGAGCACAAAGTTTTCCTTAATCGCATTATTCAGTTATCTCGAATTGCAAACACTTAATTGCAAGAGAACTTTGGCAATCATATTCTAATCCTCTGGATTGATTTTCGAAATCGATTAATCAATATAAATTTTTACACAAATGCCTTGCTCTAAATCGTAAGTGGCTTTCAATCTATTATTTTATTTCATTAGCTTTTCCGTAAACTCATCCCAGGAATGCAAACAAATTAATTGCAAGCGACATTGATAAGCATTAATTGAGAGACTATTATTTCGTTGCATTAGCGACGTATGATCGATTGTTAATTAAATATTTCTGTTTGCCGAAATCCTAGAGCCGTTTATAAATGGAATGAGGTAACAACCAATAGAACTATGAATCAAGTGGCCGCATAAATTAACCTCAAATATAACCTCAAAAAATGAAATCTATCATACAAACAAAAACAAAACAAAAATTTCGAGCATAAAAGCTAAATCTAAAAACGGTATCGCATTGTAGAACAGCGGTATATCAGATTTCGATTTTCACCTGGTCTACTCGCCGCCCAACGCACTCGCGCATCAAACATACACGTACACACGCAACATACTACCACGAATATAGAGGCACGCTTAGGTAGGCTTAGAGGCAGATACAAGCGACAAAGTACATTACGGCCGGCTGCATTTTAATGCAGCGTGTGTACAATGCATTCTCATCTACTTTTGCATACGTTATAAAATATAGATAGAAGGAGAGTGAGAGAGAGAGAGAGAGAGAGAGTGCGTGCGTGTTTGTGTGCGAATAAATAGGGGTTGAGGGCGCAGCCAGTCACTCGTACACGCGATATCGACAAACACTGTAGGATGCAAGAAGATGCATTTTTAGGCTTGTGGACGCGCTCGCGCTCTGTTTCTCTCTCTCTCTCTCTCTCTCTCTCTCTCTCTCTCTCTATTTCTCTCAGCCTCGATGCTTTACTTTTGAAAAAGAGAACCGAAAGGGCCGAAATAATGGATTGACTTTGGGAATATTAAGAGTCACCCCGAGGCCATGACGGGCAAAAAAAAAACATATAACCGAAGGAGTTGGTTACACTCACACTTGGGAAGGCATTAGGAGCAACTAGCGGCAGCTGTGGATCATGTTTTGTGGAGAAGGACAGTTACGCCGCCGGCAACGCCTCGAGGCTGGGCCGTCAGTCCTTTGCCTACAGCACCGTCGCCTTCACTGCCGCCACCACTAATAGCAACAGCAGCAACAGCAGCAGCACCTCCTAGAGCTCGCTTTCCTTCCGCTTCACACTCTCGGCTCGGTGCACCGTAAACGCATATCACTGGCAAGCGCGCGCGTGCACATACCCGCGTCCCTCCACGTCTCTCGGGTTTTAAATTTGTTTGCCAGACGCGTGACGGGGACGACGCCGACGACGACGACGACGACGACGACGACGACGACGACGACGACGACGACGACGACGACGACGACGACGACGACGACGACGACGACGACGACGACGACGACGACGACGACGACGACGACGACGACGACGACGACGACGACGACGACGACGACGACGACGACGACGACGACGACGACGACGACGACGACGACGACGACGACGACGACGACGACGACGACGACGACGACGACGACGACGACGACGACGACGACGACGACGACGACGACGACGACGACGACGACGACGACGACGACGACGACGACGACGACGACGACGACGACGACGACGACGACGACGACGACGACGACGACGACGACGACGACGACGACGACGACGACGACGACGACGACGACGACGACGACGACGACGACGACGACGACGACGACGACGACGACGACGACGACGACGACGACGACGACGACGACGACGACGACGACGACGACGACGACGACGACGACGACGACGACGACGACGACGACGACGACGACGACGACGACGACGACGACGACGACGACGACGACGACGACGACGACGGCGGCGACGACGACGACGGCAGCGACGGGATTCCGATCGCAAAAATACACTCACTCCGTGACTGCACTACGGCAACTACTGGTAGTCGTGGGCACCGAGTGCTGCGCGCAACCAACACACTCACGCATTCTGACGGGTCGACTGACTGAGCAGTTAGCTAGAGGGTTGGGTGAAGTGAAGGGAGGGGGCTCGGAGACCGATAGAAAGAGTAAGAAAGCGGTAGCGAGCGTATGGAGAGGGGCTGTCTCGCTCTCGTCGAGACTCTGCCGTCGTCTTCGTAGCGTGACTGGCGCGGCTTTAGGCCGACTTCGAAATTTTCAAAGTGCCTGAACTCTGTAGTGGTGAACTAAGCTCATCGCCTACGATACCAGAGGTCGTCGTGGCCGGTCAGTGTGAGTCAGATGTAGCGGATGTTGGACCCGTTTAAGGCATGCGCAGCGGAAGTCTAAGTTTATTAATTCTTAGGAATGCGCCAAATTTCAATACGATATACCAAAAGGTTTTCAAATAAATGCCAAAATTAACGATAAAACACTTCCCGGAGCTATATTACAAAATGGCTCTTTTTTTTTTAAATCGGGAATGTTTCATTTTAAATAACATTACTCATTTAAATATGATACTTGTATTGAGCCGACAATTTAAAAATGTAAATTTTCTGATAATAGTGCAAAAAAATATTATATGAATATTATGTATAAATATATCAATCGGTTACATCTATCCACTTGCAATATTTTTCATTTATTTTTTAAAGTTATTAGAATTTTGATTTATAATGGCATTTGTCTACATCACAACTTTGCGTAATCGTCATAATATCAAAGAAAAAAGAAAAGAAATTTTTCCAAGTGTCATTTTTACATACTTATTTCTTTAAACGCCATGTATTATCAATAAGTAACTTTATCCCTATGTTCTCTCTCCCTCTCTCTCTCTTTCTCTCTCTTACGCACTTTTTCTCAATAATAATACAAATGCGTGCCCATGCAGAGAAATAAAGAGCGGGAGAGAGAGAGAGAGAGAGAGAGACAAAGAGAGAGGGAGAGAGAGAAAGTTTGGATTTCGTACTGAGCAAGTCATTGCGAGCCAATAAACTTAAATCTCTTCTGCGCATGCTTCATCGAAAAGGTGCACTATCTACTTGACATGTATGAATGACTTAAGCAGAACATTAACTTATCATCAGTGGCGCCACCATCGTCTGCATCTGCCAGATCGATGGCTCGGAACTTTTTGTAAATGTACTGACTGTAGATATCGCTGGTAGTAAAGATCTCGCGTCTCTTAGCACTTACATTGATCAACTTAAATACGAAATGGAAGTTTTAATCCGATAGCATTGCGGTTCGGTCAATCGAAATTTGCACGTCATTATCATTATTAAATTTCATACAATTTGTTCATCCAATATCATTGTATACTGAAATTTTACTTCTTGAACTGCAAGGATTTATAATAATTAAAATAAACGCCAATGGTTCTCTACTTTATACTGTTAATAAATGCGCAAAAGCTTATTAAGCGGCACTAAATTTTAACAACTGCAATTAATTTATTAAAGTTTTCTAATGAGGTTCCGTATAATTGAATAAGTCAACCCTTAAAATTAACAAATGATAACAAATGATTTACCATTTTTTATTCATGTAAAGTAGACGTACAGTCTATTTCCTCGTTGGTTAATTGATTAAAAAAAAAAAAAATCTCTCGGCTACATTGCAAAAAATTCTATTAAACTTTCGATTTTATTACTTTAAATTATTAATCTTACTACGTGCTCCTCTGTAATATATTTTCAATGCTCAACTAAACGTGAGTGATATATGCATGCCATAAAACAAATCAATAAATTAAATAAATAATTTAGTTTTAAAAAAGCGTTTATAAAAACGATAAAAAACAATTTGAGCAAAAATTATTAAATAAATATCAATATGTATAAATCAACAGGTGGCTTAAAAATTTCTTCCCATCCTAGTGCACAAATTCAATCTGTTTATGCGTTTTTCAGATGGCAAAGCCAGACGAACAATGACCTCGCTTCATTGTTACCAACACCTCCATGAAAAATCAATTATATATTACATTTTCCTGCTGTGTCGCACGCTTCGTGTTTACTATCTCACCTTTTTATTTCTTATCATTACAATTTTAACGATTAAAATTTGATTTTAACACGTAACATGATTTAGCCGACGTATAAAAATAATAAAATTTAATTGCAAATAAATTTTTGATAATTTCATTGAAAATGACCCATCGAGTATTAGAAAATTAAGCTTATAATAATATGAAAGGAATATAATTGTATGCATTAACTTATTAATGAAACAAACAACTTTATTTTCTGCAACATGCAATATACAGTGTTTAAAAAATTGATGCATTGTCTTTTCTAGGTGTGTATTGTATCTCTCAAATAATTGACATTGAAATAAGATTATCTTTAACCACACATACAATTACTTCTTAGATAATTCAAATTCCTCGTTAGAGCTCAATTCTTCCAGTTGACTGAAAAAATGTTTCTGTACTAAATACATATTGAACAAAGATTAGATGAAAGCGTCGGATGATATATTATTTGTTGAAAATAGCCATTGTTAACCCATTTATATCCATAAATATATTAAGTATTGAAAAAAAAATAAAATAATTTTGTCTGTTATAATTCTTCATTATTAAGATTTATATTAAATTTATATACTTAAATTTTTTAACATGATACAGCTAAAATATTAATGACAGCATTCTTATATTATATGGGAACAACAGAGCTAAAGGAATCTACTCACACATTTATGTTTAAGTATGATGCAACAAATACCCTCAGAATTTTGTTTATATTTTCAATCGTAGAGATGCTTAAAGCATCTCTGTTATCCTCAGCTGAGTGCCAAATGTCTGGAAATGGATATGGAATCAAATGCAAAACTGAAACATCTAAAACAAAAAATTAGTATGATTTAATTAATTAATATATATATATATATATATATATATATATATATATATATATATATAAACTTTTATTTTTAATTATTAATTTATTGTGTAATTAAACATGTTTATGGTTTTTAATTATTTTTATGGTTTCACACAACTTAATGTAATACAAAATTATGTGAAAGATAATTAAAAATGAATTTTGTAAATTCAAGTACTTTACAGTATATATATATATATATATATATATACAATATAGAATAAAAAATATATAATATTTACATTAAACGTATTTTCAAAAATACATACTTTTTTCTAAAAATGGAATGTGATCATCTTGTATATCAGGATGAATTGTATAATTTTGAAAATATTTGCGATTTGGATTTTTATAATCATAATTTTCAAAATGGCTTGCTTTAGCCAATCTCTCTTCTGTACTTGACAACAGTGCAAACCATCTTGCAGTATTTTTAAAATAATTGTAAAATATTGGATTGGGTGCACCAATTAAATCCAAAAGTACAAATAAATCCTAAAAGATTAATATAAAGTCTAACATAAAGATTGAAGAAGAATAAAGTTTTAAAATAAATTAAATCCTTTACAATTTTATCCAAGTCTGATATGCTTTCACCTGCATAAGTTTCTGTGTTTTTTTTCCATTTATTTGCTAAATGTCTAGCTCCATACAAAGAATCTGTGGCACTCCATGATTTAAATGCTTCCTCGCCATCCAAAAATAAAAGCATTAAACTTAAATCGGCCTGTAAAATCATAAGTTTTAATTATTAACGTGTTAGTTTATTAAGAGTAATTGTAAATAGTAAGAAGTTACACTTTTTTTCCTTGCATAGTGATAATAATTTGATATCGATCAAATTTTCCTCAACTTAAAGCATATTATTTATAAATTTGTATTGTGAGCATCTTAATTACATTAACGTGTAATATATCCTATTATTAAAACGCAATAAATGCAATAAATAATCAATACTAAAGTTTATAAAATATGTAAATCACAAAATTATAAATTACTTTATAAGAAAAAAACTAAGTGGCTGAAACAAAATTTGAATTTTCAATCTTTTTGAGTTTCATAGTTAACTATATATTTTACATTTAATTTTTATAGATTAAGACTGTTTGTCCTACTCGCTACATCATTAATAAACATCATGGATACTTACATTTTTTATAGTGTTTAATTGATTTTGCATAACCTTGGCTAAATTGATAAGCTGCGTACAAGGTACTGCACTATCAGTAGCACCAACAAACTTGAACTTCTTTTCATATTTTGAATCATAATGACAAGCTAATACTAAGAATCTCTTAGCTTTAGGATTAAATCTGGCAATGATGTTTTCAAATTTAAGTTTTCCAAATACCGGTGTACGATCCTCAAAAATATCAGATTCAACGCTCCAATTAAGGCTTTTTAAAGTAGATTTAATATACTATATAAATAAATATTATTATACGTTTCACTGTAATTCATTAAATTTAATTTAAATAACAAAAATGATATTATACTTTTTTAACTTTCAGATGGCCTGGTGTTCCAACAACTCGAACAATACATATGTTCTTTAGTACATTATTAATATGATGAATATTTGTTAAATATGCTAATGCATTTATGTCACTTCTGGTCATGTGGCTTGCTTTGTGAAGTAACTAGAAGATTAAATAATTATTAATCATAATGTTTAAATGACAGTAGAAATTATATGTAATAAGTAAAAAATAATTTGGAATACATTATACGTATACATATATATATATATATCACAATGTATATGCAAAATATTAAAAAATGTTGTTTGTGTATCATGTATGTGTGTTATGTTATTGAGAAAAAAAAATAGTTAATGAAATTAACAACTTGGGAATAAATTTATTGCATTGCACTGTAAAAAATATATGAAATAATTACTATTAAAAGTAGAACGAACATATCAAATTGGTATTTCAATTTGCAATTTGAATTTGGCACATAATTTGTTAAATTTCACATTCATTAATTATAATATTTATACCGATTCTAATCAATCAACGATTTATTCGATGTATAATCATAGTTTCAAGAAAAACTAAATAAACAATTCGCTTTTTTCTGCATTATTTAATATCAATATTAATTAAATATAAAAACGAAAATTTTAGCGTACAATTGGAGAAATTAAATATATTTATTATTATATTTAATATATATATATATATATATATATATATATATATATATATGCATTGTGCATATTCGAATGATTTGTATACATCAATAAATTAAAAGGCTATAAAATGTCATTCGTAATTTAATCGTTTTATTTGATTACCCGTAATTGTTAAGTTGTAATGTTATATTTAATGCTTATTAAATTTTTTTTTATAATATTACTATTAAAGAAAATAGATTTTTAATTCTTAGTGGCTTTTGCATAGAAACTAAATATAATATTATTAAAAAATAATTCGAAAAATTTTTATCGAAATTTTATTTATTAATTGTTATTATTATTTTTAAATTGAATACTATCATTCGTTCCTTATTTAATCAATATTGGAATATAAAATTATAGTAAAGCGAAATGATAAATATCATGATGAAAAACAGTTCTGAATAAAGTATATGACAAACAATAATATTGAAAAAACCTTCGTTGTAATTATCTATCAACTTAAATGTCAATATCTTGTATGAAATATAAATAATCTACCCTGCAAATTAATTAGAATAACATACTGAAATATAATGAAATCGAATGGTGTAATAAAAAATACTTACTTTAACATTTTTTAATTTTATAGGTAATTATACACAGTTTAAAACATTTATAATTAAAACTTTATAATCCAAAAATTTTACAATCAAAATAAGTTTAAAACTGATTGGACTATATAAATTTATGTTAATATACCTAAATACGTAAGTTAAAAAATGAATAGTTTTCTTACGAATAGTTATGATACTAATGATGCTAAGAATCAAAATAGAATTGCGAAATTGTTTTAACATTTCATAAATTAAATAACCTTAGAGGCGAAATTAAAGAAATAAATATAATAGTTGTAACTATTGTTGTTTTGATTATAATTATCATTAGTAGCGGTAGTAGTGGTGGTAATAGCAGTAGCAGGAGTAGTTACTACTGCTATTGTAGTATTAGAGGTAGTTGCTATTGTTATTGTTGCAGTAGTAGCAGCACTGGTTGCTACTGTTATTCTTGAAGTAGTAGTAATAGTAGTAGTAGTAGTAGTAGTAGTAGTAGTAGTAGTAGTGGTGGTGGTGGTGGTAGATTAGTGGTAGTAGTAGTGGTAGTAGTAGTGGTAGTAGTAGTGGTAGTAGTAGTTTTTGTTATTATTATCGTTATAGTAGTAGTTGTTGTTATTGCAGTAGTGGTAATGGTAGCTGTTGTTATTGTCGTACTTGTAGTTGTAGTGTTTGTTATTGTAGTAGATGGAGTAGTAGTAGTAGCAGTAGCGGTGGTGGTAGTGGTGGTGGTAGTGGTAGTAATTGTTATTGTAGTAGATGTAGTAGTAGTGGTGATAGTGGTTGCTATTGTAGCAGTGGTTGTGGTAATGGTTGTTATTGTAGCAGTGGTTGTGGTAATGGTTGTTATTGTAGTAGTAGTAGTAGAAGTAGTAGTAGTAGTAGTTGTTGTTGTTGTTATTGCAATAGCAATAGTAAAAATAGTAGAGTATAAAGCATCCTTAGTAGCATTAGTTGTTCTTGTAGTGTTAGCGGTAGTGGATGTGACAGTGATTGGGCTGTCGTTGCGACAGTGGTAGCGATAGTGGCAGTGATGGTGATAGTGGTAGCGGTAGTGGTAGTGGTAGTGGTAGTGGTAGTGGTAGTGGTAGTGGTAGTGGTAGTGGTAGTGGTATAATATTACAACATTAATACAACAAGGACCCTTTCAAGGATAATAATGACGATGACATTAAGGTAAAATAGTAGGTAGGAATGTTGGTGGACGATCATCGCTCATCATCGAAACAATACAAGACGAATGAGTAACTTATCGATAGAAATAGAATAAATCATGTAAATCTCATAAAATGATCATTGAAAGTATCGAGAGCGGCATAAGCGACGGTCTAATACAGCACTCAACAGGTACACAAACAAAATAATACACCATACAGTGGATGTGGGTGAGAAAGTCATCGAACCACGTCAATCTGACGTTACCTTGGCATTCTTGAAGGGCATGCGGTAGGTGTTGTATTTAGCAAAAGTCTGGAAAAAGCTTGCGATGATAATGAGGAGGAATATCACCGCGCTCCTTTGTATGTTGGGTAACATCGTCGTAGGTATGTCTCCTGATACCAACTGACGACGTAGACTAATGAACCAATGCCGTGGCCAACGCCGATTGCAAACTAACGCCAACGAAAGGAGACGAGACGGAGGAGAAGCAGCAAAGCAGCGGCGGCAACAGCGGCGGCAACGACAGCGACGGCAGCGTTGGTAGCGGCTGCAAAGACGGCAGGATGTCTTCCTCGAGCGAATGCCAACGAATTTTACGACATAACGACTGCTTTTTTTGGTTCCTCGCCTTCATATCTTTTATGGTAGTTGCGGTGAAATTCGACGCTATTCTCTCGATTTACACCGATGATAAGTTAGACGGATGCACGTGCATGTCGAATCCTTGATCGTACACGCAACCAAAACATATATTGGCAAAATGCTGTTTCAATTACTCGACTAAAGTTGAGGTTAGGTGTTTATACTAAAGGGAAAATTGCGCGAACGTGAAAGAGGGGAGGGAGAATAAGAGACTGTCGGTATTTGAATTTGACATGCGCATTTGCTCTCGCCTCAAGATTGCTATGATATCGCACGTTCTTTTACATTGTAATCTTGACTCGTAAATTTATAAATAATCACCGAATTAACATTTTAATGAATTTATTCGCATGGTACTAATATCGACTATAGTGTTAATACTTTTTATAATTGTACATGTAAAAATTAAAAATCAGTCTGTTGATGATACAAGGATTAATAATTACCCTTATTTATTATTATTTTTCTCAAATTACTATTTTTATTATTGTTAATGCAATGATGTAATAATGCTTTATATTATTGTTATTTGTGAAGCATAATAAGCTTTACTGTAAAATAAAAAGACTTCGATTGAAAAGTTATTATGTAACTTAGTATTAATATTATAGATTATGTGTTTTATCTGTGAGATAATATAATATGTAAATTTAATTTGATTATCACAATACTGTATTGCAAAGTTCGATTACTATATTTGTTTATGTACATAAATTTAGACTTTTTATATACATATTAGAACTAGAAAGTTACATTTTTTTATCAGTAAATATCTGATATTTCATCACTTCTATTGAATAAAAAACTAAAATATGTTCAATTTGATTTCAACCATAAACTTTAGTATTAATTAATAATATTCAGTACGCAGCAAACTAATACATCAAATATTTTAAATTTACATGAAACATAAATAACATTATAAATTATTACTAATTCTGAATTTTTTAATACATGTAAAAAGAAAGTAAAAGACTAGTTTTATCAATACGTACAAAACTAAGTAAAGAGCGCTAAAAATTAATTTGTCTTGAATCTATTGGAAAAACTGTGATAATTAAAGAGATTATCCCCATTAGCCCATACTGAAAAATATAAATTTCCAAAATAAGTTGAATTAAAGACATTTAATATTTAACTCTGATGTTTATCTTGCACGTTATGATTCAAATATTACGTAGCAATATAAACTAATATGCATTTACTGAATAGTAACGTACTTTTAATAGAGTATTATTTATTAATAAATACTGTTTCACAATTACGTGGTAGCAAATATTAAAGCATTATAATTGTATTGATAGATCCATTGTTTCGTTGTTATCGAAATTCTTCATCTAAGCCAAGGTTTATTATAAACGTAGTAACTAGTTTGTTCATTTGGATCTGCTACTGAAATGTCCATCTTTTAAAGTATTGCATGCAATACGTGCATGCACACCAGTCAAAGATGTATATATATATATATATATATATATATATATATATATATATATCCCACTGTAAACGTATTATTACTTCTTTAAAATAGGTATAGAAATTAGATATGCATGTTAGATAATGAAATGTCTTATGAATAAATATAAAAATAAAATACAATACATCGCAACGTTAATTTTTCTTCTTCTACTTAAGTTTGAGAAATATATCGAAGGAACGATAATAAACTAAGGATTCTAAAACATTCATATAAAAATCTGATCACATTCTTTAGTGAAACAGATATAAAGAAGGAAAATTTTCCATTCCGTTAATCTTTATCTCATTACATATTCTCTTACTTTTGAATACTTACTATGATATTTCTGCAAACGTATTTCATATTTCATAAATGTATTTGCGTGTATATATATATTTTTTTTCTTTTTCTGGCGACAATTAATAGCATAATATAGTAGTTATAAAATTATTAAGTTATAAAAATTAAGTTAAAATAACGTGTTTGTTAATACCAATGTGCGTGAATACCATAGTTATAATTTTGATACAATCATTGCAAAACAAATAATTAAAATTTTGTCTTTGTATAAGTAGTACTATTAAAATATTAACTACGACGAAAGTAAGTATAGTTCGAAACAGTAAATTATTATTAGTAGAAAATGGTTAATAAGTGACGGATTCTTCAATAAAATTAATTAAATTTAAGTAACATTTAATGATCTAGGCGATAAAGGCATATAATAAATTGTTGCCATTCAATCTTGTATTTTCTGTTTCATTAATGAAATTTTAATAATTACCTTCTACAGTATTACCCCTTGTTAAATACATATTCATATACTATTTTTTTATTTATATGATCAACTGAATGTGAATACAGATATACAAGTTATTAAAAAGTATATGCATATTTTGAAAATTTTTAAGTAAAACGAATAAAAAATATGGAAGATAATTATTCTATCGCAATCAATAACTTACGATGATTTAAAATAATGGTAGTTAAAGTTATATAAACACAATTATAAAGATATTTATAAGTTGTTTTAATGCAATAATTTTAAATTTTAAATCGAACCCCGATATTATTATTAAAAGTTCAATGACACTAATCTCAATTCATAAAGTATTCAAGTATCAATCATTTTTTAATAATCAAATACATTTATGATCTTCGATATTTTTTTATTCATGTTAGATTTGTAAGCTAAAGAGTATATACAGATTTACAAATAAAAATATGTGATATATGAATGAGATATAAAATAAATGCGTAAAACGAATTTTATTATTATCGATATTAATAATTTTCAATTTATTTTAAGTCCAGAATTAAATTTTGTTTGAATCCGTTTAATACCGTTTAAACATTTCTAATTTCATTAATAATAACTATTTTAAAGAATCGCTTAAAATTTCTATATACATCGTTTAAATAACAATCAAACCAAATTAAGAGATCGAATCTATTTTCACCATTCTTATTTCATTCTTACATGAAGACTAATATATTTTTCCAAACTTGTTATTAAATTTTTATGAAAATTACGAAGCGCAACATTTTTGTTTTTTTTTTTTTTTTAAATATGCGCAAAATAATAATTGCAAATTGTATTAGTAATAAACTAATTTTTGTAATAATAAATATAATAATATAAAATATATCAAACCTTACAATTTTCATTATTGCGTTATTTTTTAATTTTTAATAAATAGCTATTCGTAAGGTTATACATATACAAAAAGTTAAAAGATATAATATTTGTATGGATCTAATCAACGTGACTAAATATTTTTTTTTCCTAGCACAATCAAGTCGTAATCTTCAATAAGTCGTGTAAATTATGAGTTTGCTTGATTCCGAAGTTTATCTTTTGTAAAAATACACTAAGGGTATTCAGAGGAAATACAACATCTTTCCTAGTTTATTACAATAATACAAATGCTTCATTAAATGTAAAATGTTTTAAAACGACAAATTCCAAAATTAAAAACGACAATCTGTCTTTTTGACTCATGGATTGATTATTGTAGAAATGTACATGTTCTGCAGTTAATGTAAAATGATTTTGAAATTTGCATTGAAAATTTTAGTGATATAATTACTTGCAGTTTGTTATAAAACATATTAATTCCATATACAATTGACTGAAATCGTTCATTAAATACTTCAACGGTACGTGATAAATTATTTTTAAAATATAGAAACTTTATAATTCTGTATGTTTCTGCTGTTATCCAGAATTCTAAAATTATGTTAAAATTATAAATAAAGTGTTGAAATAAAACTTGTCTTAAAATGCGAAACTCTCGTGAAGCTGGAATAACACATTAATTTTAATGTTGACAGACACGTGATATATAAAAGCAATTCTTTCTGAAGTATCCGTAACGAATGCTTAATTCAATAGGTATATTAATCAATTTCTTGGTAATGCTTGATTAAAAAAATATTCAAAAATGTATTAAATAATTTTAGAATTATTTTGTACGTTTATGAGGAAAAGGTAGATAAGTTTGAAGAAAAAAAAAAGCAAATCATTTAACGTCGGTTTTAGTTTAGAATCGTATTTACAATAGATATATTTAACTCATTATTTAATTATTACGTATGCAAAAGTACCAGACTACTAAAACTGTCTGATTAATTTTAATGATTGTACACATATTGCTTGTTATAAATATTTGTCTGCTGCATTGAGAATTAATTAGAAGTGTAAGCAATTGAATATTTCTGATTACAGTTTAAAAAGTTTAATTAAAGCTAATAAATGTATTATTTATGGTACATTAATTATACTAACAAATATATTTTTTACAATAATTGATTATGTATCAGTTTAATCATACCTTACGATAGCAAAACTGTACGCAAGGCATTGATCAAATCAATTAAATGTTCGCTGTAGGCACTAAATATTAGCAACAATGGAAATGTTTATAGATTTTATTTAAGATAAATCGAATACACATATTAATTATTTATGAAAAGCAATTTAACGGATGGTTTAAAATATAATATATCGCTACTGACTAATTGCAATTATCAAATAAAGAAAATCAGAACTTAATTGAAAAAACATTTTTTTATATTTAAACTCTACTCTCAATTTACTTATCTGAAATAATATTTTTTCAGATATATTATAATCACGTTATTCTCTATTTGTTGTGCAAATATTATTTTAAGCGCTTTTTTTAGTAGTTTTATTAAATTTATTATTTAACGAGTTTAAGTAACAGCAATTTTAATGCTTATAATATTAATAAATTGATATGACATTATACAGTTTCGGTATTCCTAATTATATTAACGAAAACCTCATCATGAATTAAAAATATTAATTTAGATTACTTTCATTATATATATTATTTTATACGTATTTATATTATATTAGATTTAATAAAATACAAGAGAATAAGAATTATAGTCATATTTACTTTGATAATCTATCATAAACAATATCAAGCGATCTATATGATTAATACCTGATTTTACTTTTTCTATACATTTTTATATATACATATGTCAAAAGCAGTATACTTACTTATAATTAATTATGTAAAAATTATAATTTTACTTAAATTATTATAAATAATTATCTAATGATATAAGCATAATGTAAATAAATATCGTCATAACGTTTGATAGTTATAAAAGTAAGATAACTATTAATTTAATTTTAAAACTTTTGCTAAGAACTTACCTTTAGTCAATCTTTCAATGGAATTCAGTCAATGAAATTGCACTTTCAATATACTCGTACTTATCGATCTTTTTTTAATTTAAAAAATTTATTTACTACAACAGATTGTTATATTATACTAAAAATATTTCTGCATTATGCAAGTGCCTTAAATGATTATATTACTATTAATCTCTAACTTATAATAATAGCAAATGTTTTCTTGTTATTTAATACGAATTTTTATATTGTATTTTTTTTTTTTTTTTTTTTCATTCTTTTACATAAACTAATGTGATGATTAATTAAAATAATGATCATTATACAAATATGCAAAACTACCACCACCATATTCGACTGACCAACATCTTCACGTAATAATATTTATGCTTCTATGTTATAACTTACTACACAAGTTAAAAGTAACTGTCATCGAATAAAAAAAAAGTTTAAAATAGATGTATTACAATGCGCGAACGGGCCCACACACACATAGCAGGTGACTAGGCGGGCAGTTATTTTAATCATAAAAGTCATTTCCATTTCAATATTAAAATAGATTTTATTATATGAAAATTATGTTTTAAAGCTGTATAGTAAAGCTGTGAAATTGATATAATTTTGAATATTTTAATTGTAATTATAAAATAAATTAAATTGTCAATTAAAATAAATTTAAAAAAATGCTTTTTGAAAAAGTAAATTATTTTCATTATTTATTTTATATTTTATATTATGTTTTAAACTTTAATTACATTTATATCAAAATAAATATAAATAATATGTCGATTTTAATAAAATTTTATTATTATAACTTTATATTTATTATATAAATAAATATATAATATCAGTTAGTAAGTATAATTAGTGAGAGAATCATGATTTTATATGAGCAATTTTTACCAATTATCTATTGTTGAAGAATTGGCATGTAATGTATTACTAATTGAAAAGTTAGTGAAGTAATTGATAATTAGAATCGATTATAAAGTTTATACTATGGTAATTTTATAATTTTTATTTAATCTCTAATTTGTAATTTTATAATTGGTACGACTATAATTTATTTCCTTAATAATAATTTACTAAATAAATATAATTTTTTTTCTATTTTATTTTATTATTTTTTTTTATTTATATCGACAGTGTTCTATAAATACATAAATAAGAGGTAAAGTGAAAAATATTTCTTTGTGTAGTATATACGTATATATATTTATTAAAAAATTTTAAATTCATTAGATTTCTAAATTGACAAAAAAAGTGACGATGCGAACGAAGACATAATTTAATTTGTTCGATGATGATACAAACCAACAAATTATTAAATACAACATTTTTATACAAGACATTGTATGAAATATTGTTAAAATTCTTTTTAAACGTTCACAAGTATATATCCTTCGATTATATTCGCATCGAAAAAAGGAGAAAAGGTACTGTTAACTCTAGATCCTTTTTATATTTCCAAAACTTCTTTATAATTTTACAATTAGTTTGGAAAATCATAAACTGGCGGAGAAAAATACATATAATTAATGAAACATACGGTAACGTCGTCAACATTGTTTACTTTTTAACACTTCTACGAAATTGAATTGTCAAAAAAATAGTTATAAACAATAATATGCAAACTAACACTGAACAAAAAATAAATCAAATTTTATTATATTTTGTCTTCCATGAAAACGATGTTAGGCATCATTTATTGTTAATAATAACATGACGAAACCGCAAACGTGTTTCCATTCTAATTATATTTGTTATTTGTTAACATGAATTAATAATTAATGAGCGCGTATTTATTGTATATCTTTATTTGATTAACGGTCAATAGACGCCCAGTTTTATTTTATTATCACTCGTTAAAATATTAAAGACATGTACTTTTTTTTAATTTTATAGAATTACGCATGCATATATATATATATATATATATATATGTTCGTATGTTTTAATTTTCTGGTCATGAAGAAAATATTAATTTATGTTGTACGACGTGAAAAATTATAAAAAAGAAAGAAAATATATATTTTTCATTTTTTTACATGTGTGTACGTGAGGATAAGCATGTAAATACGAGATTATCTTAACATTATACACTTTCTGAAATGTGAATCTGATGCTGTTTACTCATCGTATTTATTACAAAAAATTTCAATTATTTCAAAGTTTTCCACTTTACAATTAGATTTACATTTGATTTAGAAACTTTTTCATGTATTGTATATAACATGTGCTATAATTATCGTATTAAGTACAAAATTGTTATTTGAACGAAATTTTGAATAACAATATATAATGAATGTAATTAAAAAGTTTGAATATAATGAAAAAACGTAGTTAATCTCTCGTTGAATTGATACCCTATTATTCTTAAGAAAGTCTGATCAAACAATTTCAAATTTGCTTCATCCTTAACTTATACTAGCACGACGTTTGATTTCAAAATCTCTATAAAAGCATTAATTCATACAGCAGTCGACGTTCCTCGTTGTATATTCATATTATAATCTTCATAAGCACTAGTCTCATGAATAATTTTTTCTTCTTCTAAGTCATACATATTAAAAAATAATAATAATAATAATAATAATAATAATAATAATAATAATAATAATTATACAAAAAAAAAATCATTGTATATTATAAGAATCGTATAGAAACAATTATATATGTATATTTTACACAGTCGTTATAATTAATCGATTAAGTAACGCAAATTTCATGAGTGGCTTATATATATTATGTATTCGATAAATAATCAATCGACATCAAATCGAAACGATATACATCTTATGAATTGTATCCCGTTTAATGATAGTTAGAAAAGAATTATGACAACGAATACTTATGCAATTCATTTGACTGTCGATCGATTACAAAACCTGTAAAACGCTCACAATAGCAATATACCGATATTATAATTTATAATATCAAAACGAACGATAATATCGATGTAGTTGTGATGACCGAAATCAACGATACAGCCAACCATATCGGTTATGTCGATTGTAATACTATATACACGCGCAGACAAACACATATTTATCCCATGCAAGCAAACACTCACGCATACCTACATATAGTATCGGTATATCGATATAATCGATGAGAAATTCAAATACAACAAATATAGAACAGCTTAAACGATTACAGTACATTTGGTCCTTGCGTACGTAGGATCTATGCGAATTGTTATCGACTGGCGATGCACTTGTTTTTGTTTATTTTTTTCTTTACTTCACGGGCCTCGCAAGAACAGAAGAGAGACCGCAACAACAGCAGCAGCAGCAGAAGACAATGTATGACGGCACTCCTTGTCATCTCTCCTGGATCACTAATAGACGAGGATTCGGTGTTTCTGCTTCTTGAATCGCCGGTCCTCCGCTCGACTCAATAGTTGTAGGGACCGTAGCCCTGAGAGCTGTGATAATAAGGTCCAGGATATGCGGCTGGTGCCGGGTAACCGGTTGCGTAAGCGTATTGATGTTTTTGCGGGTACACTGTGACATGGAATTCATATATTTAGTATACTTGCAAGTCTTAGCCTTTATTTACAACGCTTAATATTAACCGAAATTTTTATACTATTTTTACGAATGTTTTAGGCCTTTGGTATGCCGATGCATTAATTTAGCGAACGGATTAAAGATAATTTACTTTAATTAATATATCCGTTGGTATGTGGATTATATCGAATTTCATTTATACTTCGTGCCCTCGTTGGTGATTTCACAAACATTTTGTAATACTTAAATACTTGAATACTTAAGATCAGTTGAACAAAATAAGAACAATACTTTATAAGAAGTAGTTTTACAAAAAAAGAAAAAACATTTCACGATTTCATTCTGAACGATTTAAAGTCAACTATTTGACATTGCCATATCTCATGCAAATAAATCATATTTTACTCAATATGACCGAAGTATTTGATTTCTTGAATTTAATATTTTAAAACTAATACATCGCTATTGACAAAGTTTATCCACCTTTTTTAATTGCTAAGAAATACCGACGTATAAGTACGATACTATTAATTAAAATCCAATTTTCACTTTCAATTTATCTTGTAATTATAAATTGATATATATATATATATATATATATATATTGGTATATAAATTAAATTCGAAAATCATATTTCGTTAAAATTTTTAAATAGTAAATATATAATTTTCAAAAAAAAAATTCTTTATATATAGATATGAAAAAAAAAATTTAAATAAAATATACATTCATTTAATTAAATAGTGTCCAAGTTTTTTATAAAAGTTTAATTTTACAAGATTATGATTGAAATTATGACCAAGTAATTGTAAATAATTACTGTTATATTCTAATTTTTCTTTTAATTTAATACGCCGGTATTTCCGGTATTTTTTTTTTTTAATATTTATAGAATGCAAAACATTTTTGACTTCTTTATTATTATTAAATAATTAAATAAATATTTAATACCAAATTAAAGCACAATAATACAATTTTTTGGATAAATAATGCGTTTTGTATTATTTATTAATTATTCTTGTTTATACAATTTTAAATTGAATCATATTTAGGAAAATGTATATTTTAAAAATTTACTGCAATGATTTTTTATCGTTTAATTTTGATATTTTTTGAAGAAACGCATAACATCTAGATACTAATTAATCAGATTATTAAACCATGACTTTATTGTAAAACTGAACAAGATTTTGTCCTTTTTATGCATAATTTATTACTTGATAACATTTTGTAAGCTATTTTGCATTGTATAACTAATTAAGATTTTTGTAATTTTGTATCATGAAGTGCATATTATGAAAACACTACCAAATGAATTAATTTTTACAAATATGAATTATTAATGAAATAATTCTTGTAAACACTTTTATTATTTTGGAGATAATCGACTGATGGAACAGAGTCGAAATGAGTTATATATACCATGAATGAATTATTAAAAAGCTACGTTATCATGAATGAGTTTATACTTACAATGTTAGTCGATGTAAATAAACATTATTTATTTCTGTCATTATGTACAAAGTTTATTTATATGTTCCATTTTATCGTTTAATTCTTTCAACCGTGGAAATCCAATACTGTTATTAAAAAATTAATTATTTTTTATTGGCATCGATAACATTTTGTTTCAAAGTATAGAAGAGAAGACCATATACTATATAAAGAAAATTATGAAAAAAGAAAATTATAATTTTATCTAATACATTTCAAGAAATTTTGACTAACCAGAGACATTTGACAACATGACTGCTAGACATCTGCTAATCACGATATAATTTTGTTTTATTTATTTTTTTTTTTTTTTTTTTTTGGTCTGTATTAGCACCTATCGTATGTTCTTTATCATTTTTGTTTGTTTGTTTTTTTTTTTTATGTAGGTGAAAAAATTTTTTTGTCATTTGAAACATTATTGTAGTTTATACAATAGATTTACTTATGCATTAGAACAATATTGTGAATAATAAACGAATAATTGAATAAACATTTTATTTTCAATATGTATCGATTAAAATTACGTTTCAAGCATCTAATAATTATTTATTCGCATTCCCTAGTCGCCCTTTACAGAGAAGAAAGATTTGTTTATTATGTAATAGCATCTGAAATTAGTGAAATGGTAATTAACCATTAAAAGCTTTTAAATAAAAATGCTTATAGTTGGTAGTGTTAATTTACATTTAAATATAACAACGCTACGAAAGTGAGATCGCGTAAAAAAATATTTTTAGACTATTTCGTAAATATTTAGTAGACCCGTAAGCAACGCTTTTAATATGTTAAAGATATTGAATAAAACAACTTTCGATCAAACTATTTCCACTTTTCTTTATTTTTTTTTTTTTGTTGATATTTATATCTGCAGAAGTCGTACTAATCCTTCAAACATCTCTTTAATTTATAAATAATCAATAAAGGCCACGTTTATATTTATCTTTAACCAAATATAATCTATACTCTTGCCGACGATCTTAACTATATAAAAGCTATATAAATGTTTTATAACGAAAGAGAAGCATCTTATTATTTTATAATAATTATGAAAATTCGCTATTAAAAATTACAACAATAGTACCGTTAGTTAGTTAAATCAGTTGACGAATAATATCATACATTGTTTTATAAGGGCTTTATCTGATAACAGGCTGCACATCCATCGGCTAACCAGCCGATTAGGAATGAAAATGTGCTTTTTTCTGCTTTTCGACCGAACATCTGAAAAAGTAGGCGAGCTGCTGTCACACTTCCGAGCGTCCTGCTCGCACTTAATGTGAAATCCAGGCTTTTGGTTGTGCGGGAGGTGTGATGGCGTGGTTTATTGGGGCGGGGGAGAGGCAAGTGTGCAGTCGCAGCTGCTCCTGCGAGCGAAAAGCGTAAGCCGAGACAAGGACATAGGAGACACGACTTGGTTATGCTTTTCATTTCTCCGCTCGGCTTGTTCCCAGGCTAATCGATCGAGCCCCGCGAGCCGCTTATCTTGCGTCTCCTTAATGCTAAAAAGAAAGGCCTGCCATTCCAGAAGGTGAAGAATGCGCTCAACGACGCTTCATTTTCAGACCTTTGTTCATAGAAAGTGCCGAGAGGTGGAGCGCAACACGAGTCTCTCTCACGTCCAAAGCAAACAGAGCATGCGACGGCGGCATGCGTACCGGAAGAAGCACAAGTATACGGCTACTCATTTCAATACGTCGTCGGGCCTTTGTTCATCGCTGATTAATCCAAGTCTCGGCTTTTTCCTGGCCCGCACAGGCTTTTAAACTTTCGATAAGGAACTATTTTGAATGTTAAGCGGTTCATCGGCTCGTACGTGCTTGGAAATTCTCCTTCGACCGTCCAGGCACCCACGGGACTTGGCTCGAAGGAAATAATTAGCCTCATAACTGTTTAACGATTATAGCGCCGAGTGTTTAAGCTTTTGCGTACGCGAATAATTTGCTTCCATCGAAGCGAAGGGAAGAGATGGTTGCCGTGAAAAATTAATTCTCCTTAAATAAATGCCATCGATGGCGTAATCCATTCATTGTAGATTATTAATATGCCATTAATTTTGGATTTTGCATAGTTGAAAGAATTGTTATGTTTGTTATCGTTGTATATTTTGTACATTCTCTTTTTTCATGATATTTAATAAAATATTAAGACTGTGTTAATGCCTTACAAACAAGTATAAATTCAGTATTAATGTTTATACAAACTTATCGTAAGGATTAATATATTACCTTCAATTTTAAAATATTCTGTATTTAATGCCTGTCATTGAGAAAGGATTCACCAATCGAAATGTTGTACAATTGCTTAATTAGTATTGGAAGTATGATAAGTCACGTAAGAAATCAAAATTACCGGCTTTGAGTAATTTAATGTGATATGCTTAGAGAGTACAAGGTTTCCACGATTCCTAAAATATTTATCAAACAAAATGAAACGGGTAAACTTTCCTTTCCACCATATAAACTACGCCCAAGTATTGCCTTTTACATCTCAATATCTAAATGCAAATTTATCGAGGGAAAGTTACTGTATAGTGACTGTGGATTTACACGTACGTGAGTGAATTTACGCGCGTACACGCGCCTATTTATCTATCAATCGATTAAGACGATATCTTGCTAATATACATTATATAAACAATATAAACGAGCATATTAATATAATGTGTAATTCGAACAAATTTCTCAATAAACAAATCAAGCGTGTATCGTATTTTCTTTTTAATATATATATATATATATATATATATATATATATATATATATATGCGTTTATATAAAAGAAATTAAAATTGATGTTAATTTCATTAGAAATTCATAGAGGATTGATTATTTTAATAGATTGTGCATAAATATCATAATTCATATACATACACGAGTGATTATAATATATTCAAAAATGTTTTCTAATTACTGTCGAGGCTTTACGATTTCTATAATAAATACGCTAAATCAACATCGTGGTAAACAAAAAAAGTCATTAATCTTTATCATTGTGGCGTATTATACGTTAATTTGAGTTTTCAACCCAATCGATCGAATTATCAAAAGAACAATTTCCTAATGATCGCATGTACTTAGATATATGGAAAATACAAATCCTTTCTCAAATCAAGATATAAATTAAATAATTTAATGTTCATATTCTTGATTAACCAAAACAACTTTCACGAGACGAGATCGAGGAGGTCTAATTGTTAGTATAAGCTGGATAGCCAAATATATGTAGGGATTTAATTATGTGCTCGCCGATAAAATGTCAACCTCTGAACAATACGACCAATTCGATGATAATCGAGGTGTTACGTAGTTAAAATGACAATCAATAATGTAAGTTCTGTTATTTGACCGATTATTCGTTTATCCTCATAACTATATAAGCAAAAGACACAATTCCATCTATGCACCCGTCATTAAAATCTATTTAGTGTCATAATTATGAGCGGACACTTATTTAATTGAAATTAATGAATATTTAATAATCGATTGAATGCGATAATGTCGCGTACTCGCCCGGATGCCACTTTATACCGTATTCGAATGCTCGAGTTGCGCACTCGTTAATAATAATAGGCGTGCAATGTAATGGAAATCGATTTCACAATATAACACAACTCGACTCGTTTAATAAACATAAATAATCAGTCGACATTGTTCCGAGTTTTCTATCGGCTCGCACGGGCACGCAGAGCAATCGCACCTTGTGCAATCGTGTCGCGCGACAATTCCTCCGGAACCGAACTCGACTTGATCGTAAATGTTCGAGCTCGGGGAAGTTGTCGCAAGGTCCTCGACCAGATGAGTTCTCGCGGGAACGCTTCTTAGCCGGGACCCGAACCAATTAAAAAATGACGCACGACTCTTTTAAAGAGGGTAAGTTATACCAGGCATAAGATACTGCATGTTCATGGCCTCCTCGCGCATTCTCTCGCCCCTTAAGCATATCGCAGCCGCGCTAAACAGTATAGCGCTGACCAACGACCAACCGACGCCGACCCAAGCCACCACGTACGACCAGTCGTACGAGATTAGTGAGTTGTCCTTGAGGACCTTCGGGACGATTGCGTGCAGAAGAGGATGTGTGGGTGTAGTAGGGCAACCCCGAAGACAGATAAACAGGAAAACCAAAAAAAAAAAAAAAACACAAAATGTCAGACGGGGTAGGGGCGTTGGCTTACGCTCCATGAGCGTTCAATGACCTGGCATTATGTACTGGACGTTTTGGGCCTGCTCGCGGGCCCGCTCCTTGCGTAGACAGCTCGCGGCTATGAGGAAGAGGGTCATCGCGCCCAGGCATGTCGCCACGCCCAGCCAAGCCAAGTAGAACGACCAGTCGTACCACTGGGCCACGTTGTCGCGCAGCACCTGCATCGTTTCGGCTTTCACGCATGTTCTCTCTTTTTATTTTATCTCTCCGTTTTATCCCATGGTTTATCAAATCCGCAAATGGTTCACTCTTTAAAGCGCTTTCCGACATTCCGAGGCTTTTATCTCAAAGTCACTGTTCTCCGTAAAACGACCAGACACTTCCGTGTTCGCACACCCAATGGGCTATTATCGTTCTGGTTAATCACCATTATTCACTCGAAAGATTAAGATTAGCGAAGGGCGTTTTAAATATAATTAAACGTGATAATATCTTGAACCAATAGCATAAGAATGAAATGTTTCATTTTGCAAGATAAATCTTTTATTCCTCTTGCTTAATTACCATTAATTTTATTCTTTTACTTCTTAATTTGATTAAACAACACTCTTCCCGAACTATTGGTATAAGATTTATATATATTTTTTTTTTTTTTTTTTGCATATATAGTTTTTTTTTTTCATGTCTGTTAGAGTAGTATGGATGATATTAAAAAATTTAACAGTGACTTTGAGTTGTAAGGTAAATTTTATTCAACATTATGCTTCAATTGCGTATCATATTGCAAATTTGTTCACATTACAAAGAATAATACGTTCACGGTAAATTATATCTCGGAATTTCGGAGAGAATTATTGTATTCGATATAAAAAAAAAAACTTTAAATTAAATTGATAAATTCCACTTCCTGTCCTTTTCCTTTGAGTTGACTCGTTCTGCTTCTTGATCACCATATGGCGGATATTTTTAATACTGCATTTTTAAGTTGATTTTTCCATATTAAATATTGAGAATTAAATATAGAGAAAACGCGGTTTATCTTAAATAATTTGCTCTTGCATCAGAAAAATGTAAAATAAAAAAATAATGATAAATCACACCGAACGTAAATAAAACCAAGCAAAGATAATGACAATTTGAAAATGAAATAGTATTTTTAATTAGGCAAAACTATTTAATTAGCGTATCAAGAGCAAGGTAAAACGATAAAAAAATTTATGAAAGACATCAAAGATTAAACTTAAAAATGCTGTATTATTGTTCCTATATACTTATTCAAAAAAATAAAATTAATTTTTTATATGTTCATCCGTGTCAAAGATTTGTTCAATGTCTATTTAACAAATACACAATTACCAGGCCTTCACTTTATTATAAATAACCATTTATCTTATAAATGCAAATAAAAAATTAAATTTTCATATCTTTGAATAATATCATAACAACATTGAACAATCCTTCGTACTTTCAATACGAATCGACAAGTTGTCGTAGAAGCTGACGATATCCTATTTTTATTCCAACATGTTGCGAGAAATAAGAAGCGAAAGCCAACATAATCTTCGGGTCACATAAAACTATCCACAGTCCACAATCTTTCTCCAATTCATTGCAAAATAACGCGAGAGGAAGATCGAAAGAATGACGGGAGAGGGGATGATCGCCAGCTTCTAAAATGCGTCACCGATTCGTCTCTCGTGTCAAGGGAAATTCTTTCCTCAGCTGCTGCCTACACGCGTTTCTTCCTTATTATTCATTACTGACTTCGAACTTACATTGCTCCATTGCTGGTAGTATTCTTCGCCGACTATTTTTTCCTTTTCATAATACTCGACACCATGCCACAGTCCCATTCCTCCGGCGCTTAATAGACCTGAAAAACATACTTAATTTAATAGTTCCTTTACCAATAGCTGCTTTCTTTCATTTCTCATTGTCTACGCTATTTTTTAAATATAAAACGTTATTAAAAAAAAAAAAAAGAATTGTTAATAAAAAAAAAAAAAAAAAAAAAAATATATATATATATATATATATATATATATATATATATATAGAGCGTTAACCAACAACGACGTTAACATTTTTAATAGTTTACTATAGTGGCTAATATTAAAACTAAGCAAAATTTCTGTTCAATATCTATTACATACAAATTACACATAACATAAATTCAATTTAAAAATGTATCTTTAATTCTGGATAAATTTGTTAAAAATTGTCAATTTTTGTATTCTAATAATGTACATTAAATATGCAATGATTGAGAGAGATTAGAATAACAAATTTGATTAAATTATAATTAAAACAGTTGATTATCCACTGTTTATTGTTGTAAATTTTTTATCTTTAATTATACCCAATTATAAATTTTTATTTGAAAAACCAAATTAACAATAAAATACTTTGTTATGCAACGTTTTAATATTGATAATTATCATTTTTAATCACAATATAATTAATGGAGTTATATTTTTCCTAACAAACATTAATAAATTTTAGCTAATTTAATCATGCCCATGATGTTAATTCTATTACAAGCGTTGAAAAATAAATTTTATCAAATAATAGTAAATGTATATTTAATATAATTTAGATATGAAATCAAATAAGTATGAAGTTTTGGTAATTTGTATTGCGTAATGTAATACAAAAATCTGATATGTAAAACATTGCTTGGACTGCTATATTTACTATTAAAACGTTCATTGGCTCATTTACAGCAGAATCCATTGAAATTCAATTGAATAGGTGGTTTTCAGAATTCAGAAGCATGACAATAATTAGCTAAAGAATTCCTTCGGACAATTTCACTTTCAGGTGTTAAATGTAATTTTATAATAGATACTGACACCTTATAATAAATATTATACATCTCCTTATATATGAAATTAAGGGAATAAAAAGTTAATTAAATGCGTACATGCGTACACATGTGTCTGATCAAAATACTTTTTAAGATTATTTTATTTTCAACATTACTTTATCAAACAGGTATTAAAATGATGCAAAATTGTAGTAAAAGTAGATTAGGTATGGCGATAAATTCCCTTTATTTTTCCATAGCGTGTACGCTGATAAGTAACTATAATCATTTTATTTTAAATGAAAGGTTTAATTAAGCCTATTGTTGAGAATTCACAGCTCGTTTTATAACATATATTTCATATAAGTTATAATAAAATAATTAAGATTTAATAATTTTTTGTGTAAATTAAATATTTAAATATGTATTAATAAATTTCCGAAATTTAATATAATTTCCCATTAAAATCAAGCACGTATAAATTTTTCTCATTAAGTCTTTCGATTGAATGTTCGCACGAAGCTGATTTTATTAAATTTTTACGCAATTAACTTCTTGTAATGAAAACGAAACTTGTTTCCATAAGATTAATAATTTTTCGCTACAGTTTGGTCAAGCTGCGACTAGCTCGTCTTTAAATAAGAGAGAATGTAGTGAGAGAACAGATTATTCTCACTTTATAAAGCATTACGCGTAGCCCTCGAATCCTTTCATCTTGGGCGCATACTTACAGGCTAGTAGCATGAGGATGGCGGTCGCGGTTATGTTGCCGGGTGATCTCTTCCAGCAGCCAACGACGCCCGTCCAAAAGGCCGTAAATATTGCCAAGAAGCCGACCATAAAAAGGGCGATCACCGATCGTCCCATATCTGGACCAAATCATAATAAGCCTCATTAATAATGTAAAACGTGACTCTGGTCATTGTTTTCGACAAGATTGCAATTCAAGCAGTTTGCCTTTATAATATTTCCCCATTTATTTATTTACTCGCATTACAGCAGCAAAATAATTTTCAAATAAGCACATTTATTATTAATATACTTATTTATATATTGAATATTAGCGTTTTCTCTCTATGATATTTTGTTTTTATTTTCTTGTTCAACAAGCGAATGACGACGACGAACTCGCGTCATTTGATGAAAAATTATTTTTGTCTTTAAAAACTTTTTTCAATGCAATACTTTAGAATATTATATGGAAAATAATAATTTTACCAATTCGTAATATCATTTAAAGGATTTAATTAAAAAAGAAAAACAAATTCTCATAATCTGTTACCGAATAACTAATTAAAAGTATATGAAACTCAGCTGATTAGACATTTGTACGTTTTAATTTAAAGCAAAACTTAATAAATAACAATTAAAATTTTCAATAATCAATATAATAATACATAATTTGATTTTTATCAGCATCTTCTAATACTATTAAATTGATATGCGCAATTGGGCAGTGAAACTAAGCAATATGAACTTTCTAAGCTTGTTTTGTTCAAATTTTCATTTATACGAAAGTAACTCTTATTTTAAATAATCTATTATTCCTGAAAAGAGAAATTACGAAAAAGATAACGATTTATAAATTTTACTTTCATTCATTACCCTATTAAATTTACCGACTTTAATGAATACTGAAATTGAATAGCAATTTATTATTTATTGAAATCCATAGCCAGTAAAATGCGGCTTGCAAGACTTTTGCAGGTATCATAATAATTAAATTAAATAGATTTCAAATACACAAATAGAATTAAGCATGTAATGTCGCCGGTAGATATTTTGTAAATGCCTTAAGGTATGAAATTTTAAAAACACTAATTAAAGATCTGCCTTTGGTTACTAAAAATTATAAGTATGCAAAGCCGGATCTCTCTATTTTCTATGGTTTTAGCGTTATTTTAATAAATGTTGTAAGCCAGTTCTAACAGCAATTATTTAGCTTTTATTTAAGCGTTCTTAAATATTCGATAGCTTTTTACTAGCAAGAAATATACCGTTTTTCAATTCAACATTGATTATCTACTCACATGCTTCTTTTATCATGAGCAACTTCAATGATAAACAATATTAAACTATATTCATGCAAGTAAAGAACTATTTAAACTCAAATATTTCTTAATTAACGATATTAAAATCGATGTTGAATAAACGGTGACAATTATTTTTAAAATATATAACTCCAACTATAAGGGATTCAATGCCGCTTTCGTTCTTGACACATCTGGAGATAAGGTTGAAGCGAACTAGGAGACTATGTGTATGACCAACTTAAGGAAGAATTCAGTTTGCCAGTTGCAGATGACAGTATTAACAGAATGAGTAAGTAACATATGAGTAGGGGAGGAGCACGAAAGAAGAAAAAAAACGAAGAAATATTTTGGTTGGTTAGTTAAAACAAACTGTGATATACTCAAGAAAACACATTATCTAGTTATGTTAATATTTAATTCGGAGCTACGAAATCTCTCTTTTAAATAAAAGTTTTATTATTTAATGGAGCGATCGCCCATTTCATAAGTTATATGAAGAAATTTCTGGTAAGAAAAAAAAAAAATTCTAAAACCTGGCGTTATTACAATGTTACCATATCTGCTCTTTAGAAATGTTCACGTTATCATTTATTATTAAACGACGTAATATACTGCAAGTATTAGAATGAAAATTCAAAATACAAATTCTGTGCTTCCTTCAGTATATGAGATTGCTAAAGATATTCTTAGATCCATACATATCTAAGATTCGTATCAAATATATAAAGCCAATTATTTATTATATCAAAACAATAGGATTCAATAATGCAATCTATAGGAACTGCCGAATAAGGACTAAGGCAATAATTAATTTAAATGTTAGATTAGTTTGCATTTTATACGACGATCGAAGTAACGTGGATCGATCTATATCACGGAGTATCGGACATTTTGTCAAACATCAATAAAAAAAATGGCTAACATATTCAATAACTACTATATCAAATATCTGAAACAGACATCTTCATAACTATTCGCACAGAAATAATTCCACTTGTCGAAATGAAATATTTAGTGCACATTACAGGATATACGTTGGTATGTTACGTTATGTAAATGTTGTTACTAGTTTTCGCATTTTGTCTTTTATCGAAACAGTCGTATTTAACATACGTATTTAATTCTATTTATGTATTTGAAATATATACGATAGTTAATAAGAGTAAGAAAAACCTAAACTACTAGTAATTATTTATTACCCATCCACATAATAAGGAATACTAGAGCTGTTACGTTGAGTAAATAGTTTAAAAAATATAAATTATGATTTTTGAATTAATAAATTATAATTATTGTAAACTTGAATATAATCAATATAATCACATTACATATATTTTTCTATTTAATCGTAAAAAGATAATAAGATGGATGATAGAAGAGCGAGGAAACTATTTAATCTATTAATATTCTTAAAATATGCTTACGAAGTCGAGCCATCGCGTCATCTGAAAATCCTCTCGTCTGGTTTTCCTCATCAGGGATGAAGTAGTCGATGTTCATGCAGTGCGTCTCTACCGGACTAAGGTAAGTTTCCACTGTAATATAAATAAATATGCGACTGAGTCTCTTAATTGTCGATAAGCTTATTATATGATATTGCAAATGATGAATTATACAAATTTGATAAATCATCCTTGTCAACTCTTTATAATTGCAGCACGAAAACGTGAAAGTTTCCAACAACTAGAAAGCGACAGTAAAGTCGTGCACTTTCTGAATGCCAAATTAAGTCGTGTAATGTTCTATTAAAAACTTCTGTAGAGAATATTGAAAAATTTTATCATTTTTTAATAATACTTTGCACATTATAAGGGTAATAATGTCTACGAATAAAGCAAATATATTATTTTCACACTGGTATCTCTAATAGGTTAATTAAAACATATAAAGATAATATACAATGAATTTAAGTACATATAATTATTGTTTATGATAAGTAATTAATAAAATCACATTATTTATACAATTTTTGAATTTTTTTTTTGAATTTTTAATATAATTTTTGAATTGCAAATGTAAAATAGAAATTTCTTAATACTATTCGTACGGATGTGTATAATCGTAAATTCTAAATTTAAATCTAATTACAATGAGAATGGTAAAAATTATTATCTAAGAAGAATCGTAGCGATTAATTATTACTCAAATAAATCAACGCTTGATTTGGATCATTTGTTAATATGTTTTTCATGCTGAACTAGCACATTGAACATTCACCGATTATCCATGTAAAAGGTTCGTTTACCGGTAGAATGAATTGAATAAAAATTTGTATACGAGTAAAAGAATATGAGTATCGATTTCACGGTTAGCAATTCAATGCTACTTTAAAACTTCCGTTACTAACAAAGTTTATATAAAAATAAAATATTTTATTGGTTTTAAGCTATACACACGCGCGCGCACATACATATTTACGATTAATGGCAGAACGATGGAATTGAATTAATTAATTAATAAAAATCATCGAAACGCAATTCTTAAATCGCAAAAGCTAAAAATCGAACGCAATTCTCAGCTTAACTATGAGTTTCAAAACAAGATGAGAAGTAAAGTAAATTACATAGCACTGCTAAGTGAATGCGAGATGTATTGTTCTGTAGCAAAATTTATAAAGTTTATAACGATAGGCGAATGTGCTCTATCGGCAAAAGGAGCTCCTCTCGATTACAAAATGTTCTTCTTTTTGTATGGAGTTGCGTCGTGTGTGTCACCGGTGGAAAATTGTTGCGAGCTCCCCCGGTGGGCGGTGAAGTGAAAAACGATGACGAAAGTTGATGTCCGAGTGGGCGATGCGACGATGGCAAAAGATGGTTAGGCTTGAGCAAAAACTACTCGCGAGACGTTAAAGAAACTTTTCTTTACTCCCTTTATGTCTGATAGAGGGAAAATTGGAAATTGGTATTTAAAAGGTAGATTGATACGACAAATCGGGGGAAGTTTTTGTTTTCATTTATATTCATATTCATTTGTTTATTCCGTCAAGGATCTTGGGAGTGATTGTCTCTAATTAGACGATGCGCAAGTGCGCCAAACTGTGCAATAGCCCACCCATACCAGATAACATCAAAATATCTTAAATTGCGATTATTTTCATTTGTATGGAAAAAATATTCATTATCCTTCATCATAATCGGGACTTGCACTTTTTTACTTTAATTGTCTGTCTACAGTTTCTTAATAACATCTAACAATTGCATGCGCTCACTATTTGCTCATTGTGACATTAAAGAAGCAATTACGAAATTACCCCTTTTATTTGACTTGCTAATTTTTTCAGAGTATTTAAGAAAATACGAGTGAGACAGGGATTTTGTTTCCTTTTTTTCTTTTTCTTTTTTTTTCTTTTTCGTAAATATCGATGAACAATATGAAATAGTAGCCGAAAACAAATCGAAGATTCTCGCTTATATCGAAGCAAAGCTAATACCGGCCATTATGTAATACATTTCGAATATCGCCATTAAGGACAAAATGTAGCGCTAAGAGGCCAGTGATGGATCATAACTCGGAAATGCCTCTTCTCGCCAATCTACATGCAAACTACAATAAAAATAAAAATAAATAAAGCACAAGGGAAATTCGACATAAAAATTGTCCAATCAACGATCCGGATAAAATTCCGAGGCCAAAGGCAGGTGCGTGCGGGCTGCGCGGAACAAGCGACGAAGAATCTTCTTGGCAATAAAACGCCACAAATCCCGCCTCCGCGATCTTAGATCATTATAGATAGATATTCCGAACATCCTCGGTAACTACGACCCAGAATGCGGGGCTCGCCGCCGAACACGTGTGTGTATGCGTTGCCGCCGCCACTCAGAAGGGAAAATCACGGGGCCGAAAGCGAGTCACGGCCGAGATACGTTGCTTTCCTCTCGCGCATCCTTCGAACGGGACTTGGACGGTAGTGCGACCGGAAGATCTTGAAAGGCGCTGGCAATTGCGTCGCTGCTAGCGGTGATCTCTCCGTCAACTTCCCTCCCCGCCGATTTTGAAGCGTCAAATGCGCGTCGCCGTTTCGGTCGTCGGCAACCGAGAGCAAGTGGAACGACGACGAGTAGCCGACGTATTTATTCGCCGCCTGCCAATCCTCCCTTGTCGTTTGGTCGAGCCATTTTTCTTCTTTGCATAGTCAATGAGTAGTGCCTGTGCCTCCCCCGACACTGGCAGACTTTAAATGCGCAAAGTCGGTGCGATTATGAGAACGAAATTTCGCGGAATCAATTGTAATTTTTTTTTTTTTTTTTTTTTTTTTTTTTTTTTTTTGTTTTATCTACGTGTCCCTTGTTACGTTGCATCGACAAATTTTAATTGGCCAAAAGAAAAAGTCGATAGATCGATGATGAAATTTTAATTTGAAATTATTAAGATGACGGATGCCGCGAGATTATTAACTGTATTTGTAATGATGTAAGAAATTAGAGTTTCAGGAAGTTTTCGAATCGGGAAATTTTTAATTTTAATTTTAACTTTGGCATATTAATTAAAAAAATAATAAACAAGTACAGTTAAAGTTTAGGTATACTTACAAAGAAAAGTGAAATTGCAAGTGAGTTGAAACTTACAATGGCAATGTATTTAAACATTCATTGGCAAATTACTTCTCTAGAATATTTATATTTATTTGATAAATGATACTTCACATACTTGTGACTATTATTTTTCGTATTAAATGTACAATGGGTGCTATTTTTCCTGTTAAAATTTACTTTCACAAATACATGAGAATCTTCTTCTCTTCATATATACGTAATAAAGAGTTTTAACTACAAAGAAACGAAAGATTTTATTTCGAGAAAGCAATGCTCGTTTGTATAATGCATTTATTAATGTTGGATAAGATACTATTGAATACTGAACTAGGATATAAAGAATAAAATTAAAAAATACTCCTTTCCGATAAGTAAAATAAAAATACAATGAAATACAACGTTAGATTTGCATGAAAAAATAATATTAGCTGCAGTGATACTGATATTTCTAACAGTCTGTTACTGAAACTTCATACAGATTATTGACGTGATTAGGTGTATACGAAATTAAAATAGACATTGTTAAGGCATTTTAAATATAATTTTGCTAGCCACGTAGAACTATGGCTCCTAAAATTTAAAATAATAAAAACGACCTATAAACGACTTTAATGTATGTAGAATAAAATATATAAGTTATATGTAAATTTATATTATTTCAGTATAATCCATTTTATTGAAGCGTTAGACAAGCATAGCGATATTTATGTTTGTTTTTTAAATTGTAATAATGTTAATCTTTGAATTTATGATTTATAATGTTTTATTTAATGTTTTCAGAAAAAAATATTGTTTTTATGAAACATTACGCGCGATCTGCATATTTATTTTGTGTCAATAATGCGTACTACACAATATTTTATATAATATTAATTATATTCTAATTAATATTATTTTAATGTTGTACAAAACTATATTTAAGATAATTTATATTAATTAATTAAAATATTAATTCTTTACTTAACTTTATTAGGTATTTTTATTTATCGTGTAAAATTTTTTTCATTAGATTTAAAGTATTTTAATCCACTGAATTACTAATAACACGATTTCTTAATCTATGCTTTATTTTATATTTTCATAAGAATTCGGTTTTGTGTTTGAAATAGCAAAATTACTAAAAATAATTGCACAACAATTTTGTTAGTTCGTCAATTTGTTTAAATTTCTTTTGCATTTTAAACAATATGTGTGCGATATTAATTTTATAATGTTTACTATATTATATATATATATATATATATATATATATATATATATATCGTCTTTTAATTACTTAAAAAAAATTGAATTTTGTAATTATACTTTGGTAAATTATATTTTACCATTAAATTATTCTAAAATATTAGAATGGTTGGTAGATGCATTCTATTAAATCTTTATCCGTATTGTGTCGTAAGAACATATTAAAATAAATATCTTTTATAACGTACTTTTGTACTTGGACCTTATAATTATCGTCTTTTTCCAGGACACATGACACAAAACCATCAAATAAAATTTCACAGCAAATTATCAACTGGCTACCATTAATTCAAAATGTAATAAATATCATTTAGAGAACATCTTGCCTTACCTTTGCTAAATAATAATAATGCTCCAGCTACTTGCCTATTAAATAAAGCACAGCCACATAGTAAAATAAAGCTTTAAATTAATGACGAAGAACAACTGTTATTTATGAAAATGTTCTTTTATCATACTTTTGAATGAATAATTCAAGCGCTCGTTACAATAAAGTTCACACAACCAGCAGAATAATCTAATATAGAAAGTATGATAATAGCAATTTTTCCTACGACGGCCTTGTTTATAAATACATTAGCATATCCTGAGAACATTGATAATGATCAAGTGAAATTTTTGCTCCTGAAATTAATTTAGCATGTAAAGGAATACATTTGTTATTCGCTATAATAGTAATTATGGGCTTTATCCGTCAGTAACAGCCTTAATTCGATCAACCGACACTCACAAATATATCGTCCTGCCTATTGTCAAAT